GACATGATGTCCTAGAAGCCCCAGTCATACACTGACAGTTGCACGCCATTGATAACGATGGTCATGAACCACGTGAGGGTTGTGTTATGCTCAAATTTGATCGTTCTGACGATTATAACTTCCGTTAAAAACAAATGTTTCTTAAAAACTCTCCATCAGCCTGGATTCTCTTAAGCATTCCTTCGTAAAACTCCCTACGTAAGAAGTAGTCCTCAGGCTTCAATTTTTTGTCATGATGCTTTTTGAAACTCTTCTATCCCATCTCTTTAAGATCCCTAGAAAACGTTGTGCCCACCTAATTTTATTTACTTTTTATCACCTTTGAAAATAAATGTAACTTTGTTTTGTGAAATATTATTTTTATTTTTGTTGTTGTTAACACAATAAACAAATAAAACAGTAACACAAAAGTTTCTGAATCCCAAAACACATTCGTAATAGAGAAAAATACTTTTCCTAACGGCGTGCGGAAAGTGACTAATTTCCGCACGCTAACCCGTGCGGAAAGTGATACTTTTCCGCACTAGTGCGGGAAGTAAAATGTAAGTAAATTTCAAAGATTTATTGATTAATGATTACAACTATTTATATTAAATGTAAAAGAACAATTTATATAGTTATTTTTCTCATTGCTTTCATTTCGATCTGTCCCTTCAGTGGTTTTCATCTCAAACACCTTGCTAACATTTGCTGCCTCCTTTTGTTCAGATCCAACTTCAGCTTCGTTTTATCGGTGATAGTACAACTGTTACGCCAATACAGCTACTTCTGAAACTTTCTTTACTTGCTTTTCATTGCACCATGCCCAAAATTCCTTATAACCCTTGTCATATCGGTCCTTACATTTTGTCGGTATTAGGTCTTGAATTGCATTCTCTGCTTCAGCAACTATATCCGAAGGAATAGAATCGCTAGAGGAATCTTTGTTTTCCATCTTCAATTGGACACACAAAACACAACACGATTAGGTATTATTGACAAATATTTTGCGAAAAACTTGTTTGTGTTTAAACAATTGCATTCGCAATACTTTGACTACTCAACGATATGATTTTCGAATGTGCTGCGATTTAAAATTTGACGAAAAACTTCATTGCTTAAAGATTTAACAGACGCTGTTAGGAAAAACATTGTTCCTAACGCGCGCGGGAAGTGCGATTCCGAAACTCGTGCAGGTACCGAAACTCGCTACGCTCGTTTCAGTAACACCTGCACTCGTTTCGGAATTGCTGACTTCCCACACTTGTTAGGAAAATAACTATTAAAATGTTGATGAGTCAATGTTCTACATTTCTCTCTCAAAAATTTCTTGTAACGAACATGCTTCCAGGTGGCAAAAATCCCACCCCTGCTTAACGAATGTAAACCCAATTGACTTCCAATCTTTAGTGATTCGAAAAAAAAGTGTGAAATTTTCCCAAATTACCTACTAATTAAATTAACCGTTGAAGAACAAGCAGGCCCTCGCTTTTTCATCTAATCGCAGTAGAACATAGCATAACCTAATAAAATATTTTGTACAGTTCGTGCATTTATTCCGTTTAAACTGACCTACAATAATCATCACACTGGATAAAATAATTCAGTTTGAGTTGTTCGTTGATTTCTGAGAATAATTTCTAATTTCACTTTGACATTTGAATTTTGCATGGTTATTCCAAAGTGACGCGTTCGCTGAACTTCGACGGTGCGACGGAACATTTCGTGACAAATCGGATCGGGCGCGAATTTCAAAATACGATTTTTAAAACCTTGTTACAGTGAATGAGCACTATGCAACGATTTGAAAAAAATACTGGCCGATAGCCCTCTTCGACCTCTATAAAGGCATCACTCAATAATAGCTTTAAAGTGATCTGGGGAGATATTATAAAATAAAAACCAATTCCATGTTAATTCCCTATATCCAGACTTGGATGCGGCACCCTGTATACAGGTGTCCCAGAATTCGCGCCATTCTCGTGAATGACATGTTCCCTGTCCCGAACTGTGCCGTAATTCGTAAAAAGAATTTTGAGGCTTTAACCGTGTGAGAACTGGAAGGCGATTAAGTTGACCAATAGAAAGGCTGCTTTTATATCCGAACGTTTCTATGTTCAAAGTTACCTATGCCAAGAACAAAAAATCGGGTAATACTAAAGTTGAATGAATTTTTTCTGAATCCCCCTCCGCCAACAAAAGGAAACAGAAGTGTGGTTATAAATTTAATTATTTTGACAATTGTGTGTCATAAACTGTCACGAAGTTCATCACTGACCTGAAGAGACGCTTCTGCGCCAAAGATGACTGATTAATGTACACAGAGACGTCAAGGTTTACTTTAAGGCAAGTAGCATGGGACAGAAGTTATTACTGCTGCCATTCTAGTTAAATTGTGCTTAACTGGGCTGTACAAGTCATAAGAGAAGCTGTTTCATTTCATCGTAGGCAAATAATACATTTATTACTATTCTACATAGTGTAGATACCGAAGAGCAAGTATTAGACGTCACTTTCTTAGAGCCGCGTGAATAATGTGTTGTTCTTTTTGACGAAAATTAGTGCATTTTGAGAATTCACTATGCATCATGTCCTTGATATTAAGTTTATCGTTATTTCTAAAAAAGAGTACCACCGATGATTGGGGAAAAGGCCTGTATATTCGCGCACAGCAGTGGCTGTATAGCGTTTACATTCTCCATAAATTAACATCATTTCCAAATATTCTTTATACTAGTATGAATAAGACATCAATAACTTAGTGGTATTGGTACTGATTTGTTTATAGTTTGCATTGTTCTTAAATAAAAAAAAGGCAACTAAACGATTTTTGTTATAATTTATATTCGTATCTTTTCAATCTTTAGAAAGTACTCACAACTTTAAAGAAACTGTTTTAAATCATCATGTGCAACATCAATATTATTCTTAAATATATAAGCAACAAAGCTGTTCAGTAAAACTTGATACTGTTTATTGAAAATCATAAGCACCGATTAATCAAAAGCGATATTTATGTTTTAGTACACTTAATAATGTTCTTTTAATGGACATGTGGTACTCTTTTTTAGAAATAACGGCTTCTCTTATGACTTGTACAGCCCAGTTAAACACAATTTAGCTAGAATGGCAGCAGCAATACCTTCTGTTTTATGCTACTTGCCTTGACGTCTCTGTGTACCAGTGGCGGCTCCTCAGAGGAGGCAGGGAAGGCTGAGCCTCCTCTGTTTTTTGGAGCTGAGCTTCCTCTAATTTTTTAGATGAAAGAATTTGTATTTTTGTAGACATTTGTCACTTTTCAGGATATTTTGTTTGATTTAATTTACTTTCATCATATATCAGGTTAAAATGTCGAAAAAAAATTATATTTGCGCCCTTACAATCATAATTTACACCACTCCGCTTTTGGCTTCAGGGGTAGAAGCTAGCCTCCGCCGAGAATGCATCTTGCTATTGAGACCGCAGACCTTGACGCATCGTCATTCAGTACTGCATTGGCTAAAACGTTGATCGGGATGCCGCTTCAGGCCGCTAGCCTCCGGCTTGTTCATCTCTTTTCAGATCAAGTCGCACGGATATTTTTATCTCTTTCTTATTAATTGGAGCCATCGGGTGTAAATAGGAAAAACATTGAGGTGGTTTCGCGTGCTCCCTATTCAGTGGTGAGCGGTGTTTAGGCTTTACGTAGTACCTACGTAAAGTCTAAGGTGTTTTTTGTATCATTTATTTGCATTTTATTTCTGATCGTTAAAAACAGTTGGTATTATCGGCATATTAATATTACTTATACTTAACGAGAATGAGCAACGAAAATAATTGAGTCTCATGTGCAGATACGTAAATTAGCTATTAAAAAATTAATTTAGTAGCTTGATTGTGATAAAAAAGATAGGTATAAAACAAAAGGGGAGACCAACACCACCACTCCCATTAATGGTAATGACAGGTAGAAAGCAAAACAGAGCATTTAATGAAAATCATTATAATAAAACTAAATAGTTAACGGCTTCGGTTTTAAGAAACAAATTATACTGTTGGAATTGTATATTATTCACAAGTGATGAATCTTCCGTTTGGGATAAAACAGGCTATAATAATTTACAAAATTTGTCAAGAGCTATAGAAAGGCATGAAAAATCACATCTACTATTTTAGATTCCGCTCATAAGAGGGATATTGAGAACTATAACGAGAAAGTTGGTGAAAATAGGGCAATTTTGAAAAGACTAATCGATGCAAAAGTTTATTTATCTATCAACGCACGAGTGTTCTTTTCGTGGGCATGACCAAAAAAAATATTCAGATAATGAAAGATATAAAAAGTAGTGCTTTTCAAATTTGAGCCTCCTCTGAAGAAAACTTCACGAGCCGCCACTGCTGTGTACATTAATCAGTCATCTTTGGCTCAGAAGCGTCTCTTCAGGTCAGTGATGAACTTCGTGACAGTTTATGACAAACAATTGTCAAAATTATTAAATTTATAACCACACTTCTGTTTCCTTTTGTTGACGGAGGAGGATTCGGAAAAAATTCATTCAACTTTAGTATTACCCGATTTTTTGTTCTTGGCATAGGTAACTTTGAACATAGAAACGTTCGGATATAAAAGCAGCCTTTCTATTGGTCAACTTAATCGCCTTCCAGTTCTCACACGGTTAAAGCCTGGAAAATTTTTTTACGAATTACGGCACAGTTCGGGACAGGGAACATGTCATTCACGAGAATGGCGCGAATTCTGGGACAGCCTGTATATAAATACAATAGGGATCTTTATATAATTAGTAAATCTTAAGTTAATAGAATTAGAATGTAACTCTTAAGATATCAAATTCTAGATAGTAGTTCTTAAGACATTAAATTGAAAATATTACGGATATAATTATCTCTTAAAATATTAGGATTAACCTAGTAGTTCTTAAGATATTAGAAATAAGATGTTAATTATTAATATATTTGATATTTAGTTCCTAATTAAAATGCCTTGTAAATATATTATGCAATAATACGCTAATTTGTTGCAGATTCGTTGCTCCATCGCCACTCCTGTATGAATCCCCTTCAGGAACCTACCACGAGTTACCCTTGTGGAATGTCCAGGCCATATATCCTCCATGGACACTCCTCCTAGAATACGATCCCTTGACGATGGCCACCCCTTGACAGAAGATGAAAACTAGGCGGTATCTGGTAGTGGAAGTTGCGACAGAAGAGGTAATTACTTAATTGCATCTTACAGATATACTTTTGACGCCCTGCCGGAAGCACTGCGTAAATTGCAGTTCATCTGCATGAACGTCTTGTGAGCTGAGCAACCCCACTGCAGCGTGAAAGTCACGCAACACCGTTTGAGGTTAGTTTTGATATTCCACTTTGCCTCGGTAGATGAATTGCATGCAGGCTAGATACCTCTAGCGCAGATGAGTGGATGGAAAGAAAATTGTATGTCTGGCAATTTCTTCTTAGCGGCCGCCAAATATTTATTGTTGCAATATACCGCCTTCTTTCTGTTCCAAAACTCTTTGGATAGTCCCGTCGCCCAGCTGGACTGTCGTGGGCGCTCGTAGTTTATGCTAAGGTTAGCTAACCTTAGCATAAACTACGACCGCCTTGGTCGAATATTTGAAGATGACAAGTTGCGGTTTGAAGAGAGTTCCGTCCTCATGTCGGACCGTAGAATCTTCTTCCGCCCGCCACCTTTCTCACCACGACGTCATGTTGGAAGACGCGCTTGTTATGTGCCTCAGGAGATGCCTGTAAAATGTGGCAAACCGTCTCAGTAGCCGAATATCCGCCTCAGCATGTTCTCAGCTCCACCGAATTCGAGGCGTTTCCGATCGTTGACGGTTTGGCATCGATCCACGACCTCGACAAGGAGTCTTGGCTGGTACATCTACTACTCACCTGAGTCCATTAGAATACACTCCTCTCTTTATTAATTGTTTGTGAACTCCTTCAGGAAAGTAGGCGATCATGTTGTGAAAACGAGCCCTAAACCTGGCGATACATTCCGACGCCAGCGTAGCTGTCACGAGCGGCTCGTAGCCTGTCCTATCTCTGAGGTCTTCCGACCTGCGTAATAGGATTTGGGGAGTAGAAACCGATAGTTTGCACACTCCCAGGCAGCCATCCTACACGGGTGCGTAGATGAGTTCGTTGAAAGTGTGCAGATGGAGGTGCAGTATTTTCTTAACGTACTGTCGGTTAATCCTATCCAGGCTTCCCAACAGGCCCTTAGTAATTTTCGTCCACATTAATGAGTACAGAATCCGCAGCAGAAGAAAAACCTTTAAGAGGGAACATTTCTCGTTCGACTTTAAAAGCAGCGCTTCCAGCCGCTGTAACCAAACCGAGTAGTTAGTTAGGTACGGCTTCAGTTGCCCTTGGCTGTCGTAATCATAATTCAAGTACCGGACCGGGTTTGGGTCTGTGCTGTGATATACCTACTTGTGGAACCTGGATGTTGACATCAGTCCTTGTAACAGGTATGACTGTGCCCTTGATCTTCCTTTCAACCAAGACATAACATTTCGTAAGGTTAACTGCCATGTTCCGGAGCCCAAAAAAATCCACCTCCCTATCGACCAGCACCTGAAAGTCCTTGTCGTTCTCTGACAGGATGACGACGTCGTGGGCAAAACCTATCACCCAATATCGTACTGCACCTGCCATCGGACATCCAAATTTTAAAGCTGTCAGGTTCTCTACCAGGTTGTCCAGGACGATGTTAAAAAGAATAGAGCTCATAGGATCCTCTGACGAACCACTCTATTGATAGAAATTGGAGCCGACATCGCCTGACAGACGTGAAACACTCTGGACGAAGATATAAGTGTCGCTTGTTTGCAATCAGTTAGGTAGCGGGGTGCTTGGACTCGTCGAAACCTCGCAGAATACAGAACTGAAAAACGGTATCAAAAAAAAATCTCAATCCCATTGACATCAAACTGTTTCCTAATCCTCCCTGCGTTCTATCATTAATTAACGTGTCGGGGATGAGGGAGTTGGCGAGAAATCCATTAATCCTTACAAATCTTCGCTGGTTGGCAACGACCGACCAAGTTGGAAAGCTCATTACTGAGTAAGAAAATATTAAACACGATATTCAGCATGATGTTACTGCAGGGCAGCACTGCCGGAATCGACAGAATGAGATCAACCGGGCGAAATATTACTACACATACGAGCTCTACAATTTGGGGCCAGTTAGATGCTTGTGTGTCTTGAATTGAGTGGATATATGTATATCGAATTTGCTCCGAAAGACAGCTTTCTCCTTGCCATTTTGTCAAGATACCCATTACTTGTGTATCAGCGTATCAGAAATGACCCTAGTAATTTTGTGGTTGCCGCTTGGACTATAGCAAAAAAATGTTGTTTGCTGATCGTTACCTACCATTTACAGGACCGCAAGTTGGCACTAAAACGCGAAAATCCCTAAATTAAGTAAAATAATTATCGTAGCACACGCTAGAGGTTCTAAATGTAAGCATCCATTCCAACGATATAGAAACTGCGTAAAAGCGTTTTCTAACATTTCATACGTTCTAGAATGTGGAAAATAAATCTACCGTTTCCGTTTGTCCGTCATCTGTTTTCTGTTGTCAATTATATTAGACAGAAATTACTACGCAGAGTCCTGTGAATATTTAGGTTGTATTTTATAAATATGTAGATGGATGGTAAAATGCTAACTAAAATTGGTTCAATAATTCGGTGGTGTTCATCCCATAATCCGGTATCATTTCTAAGTCTACAATTTCGGGCTGTGAGACTGCAGTCCGGTGGTACCATTCTTACACAAGCACTTACTTCCGAGACAATTTTCCGTCGGCGGTGCCCTTTATACCCAGCACACTTTCATAGAATTAAGCGTGCAAGATACCAACTAACGTCACGAGCTCACGAGTCACCTTCGCTCGTCGCTTCTTTTCCTCCTTGAGAGGGGTGCGATTTTACCTATTATTTGTTGCGCTCTCCGCTCGCACGCAGTGTATGCTCACTTGTATGAAAGAACGTCTTCCCGCCATTTAAAAAAAAACCACACACAACGTAGGTTCCTTTTGTTTGTTAGACGATCACAGCCAAGGCCAAATTTTGAATGTTTGAATTTTTCGCGAGCCCAAACTTTTTCAAGGTCAATTTAAGGCGCGAAGTTTGGGTTATCACAGTGTTTTTATTTATTTTTATTTTTTATTTTATTGGTTAACGTTACCCAACAGGCCCTGGAGGCCCAATTACAGGGTAACGGGGGACATACACAACACCCAGAGCAGGGCGGGAATCGAACCCACGACCCAAGGTGTGGCAGGCAAGCGCGATGCTACCTAACCCACCCCGGGTCCGGGTGTTCTTAGTGTTACAGTGGTAGGTATTTAAAAGTGTCTTTAATTTGAATTGTTTCAAAGTGGTTTAAATCAACTGGAAATAATGATAAAAGTTTGAAAAATTTTAAAAATTTATTCTGTGAACAAAGCAGACAAGCAGTATTTAGAATAAGAGATTCGATCTTGTGGTTATTGAACCATATCTCACCACCCATTATGTGTTACCTTCAGTGGCGGCTCGTGACTATTTTGGTTGGGTCGGCCAGCAGTGAGTGACCCAAAATTTTAAGACATAGAATACAAGAAACAGGGACCTCAAGTTAGTCATTATCTATAATTTGCTATCTGTATGGTGTTAATTCATATAGTCATAACAACTTGGTGAAACAAAATAAAAAATATTCTTCAAATAGGTATAAAGTAAAGCATATATACAATATAAGCCATGTATAATATTAAAATAACGACAATAAACTCAAATAAAAATGAAATTAACATTCACATTATAAAGTAACACATTCTAACAAAAAATATAACATGAAACGTCAACAACTATTTATTAGTAAAAAACAAAATTAAAAAAGTAAATTGGAAATTTTTATAAACCAATTCAATGCGTCTTTGTTTTGTATTGGCAAAGTGGTCAATTACTTGATTATAGAACTTTTGATCTTCCGTTAAGTTTGTAAGCAGTTCTTTTTCTATTGCTAAAACGAATAATTTGGATAATCGATTTTGACTAATGGAGTTTCTAGTAAAATTTGTAATTCGCTTTAAAGCTGAAAAACTGCGTTCAACATATGCTGATGTGGATGGTATATGATTAAAATTAAAGACAGAAATAATTTCGGAGGCTACCACATTTTCGGAAGTAGCATATCAGGAGCAGGGTTGAGAAATTAGGAAGATGGCAAAAGAGCACGGTAACTCAATATGTCAATCGTACCAGAGGACCAGAGGCAAAACTCTTTTTCTGAAGTTTTTTGAATTTCTTATCAACATCATATCCAAAAATTAAACAATACCAACAAAATAGTTTGTTTTTTGACTCGCTCCCCGTCAGCCATTCATAATTTTCATACCATGCTGTATTAAATGCTATTGCACTGGAGCTGACATTATTGTTCCGTGCTTCGATTAACTTTTGCATGCGCGGTTTCGGACGGCCCATTTATTTTATATACAATGAATTGATCATCGTACGTTAAAAGCCGAAAGTCATTGCTTAATTGATGTGTAACAGTATCAAAATTTAAATCAGTTACTAATTCTCTTACTAACTGTTGTCATTGTTACTGAAATTAGAAACGAACCTAAACCAACAGTTAATTTCATCCACGTGAAGACTGCAGAAATTCACAACACATATACAGATAGCGGCCAGCCGGTGCTGGTAGTGGAGAACCGCATGGAAAAGTGCACGGCAGAAGTGCAGTGATGGAACGGAATATTCTATGGTTTCGTTGCTATTGCATTCTAACTTATACAAACAGAAGGTGATAGCGCTATAACAACTTGATGTACTGCCGAAAGGCCGGCCGATTTTACCAGACATTTGACCAATCACTGCTGCTATTTCTCTTTAATTCTGCTAAACAGAGAGCGATAGCAGATATGACATTCTGCGACGTTTATTCTTGTAGTCGGCCGGCCTCAGCTACTCCTCCTCGGAGTAAAAATATTCAAACTTCCTGGCACGATTTGTGCTTTCGAACGAAAGTGAATAAATTAGATAACATTAGATTGGATTTTTAATTTCTCGATTTTTCAGTTTTTGACGTTTCTAAGTTTTCAATTTTTTGATTTTCCCATTTCTCGACTTTTCAGTTCTGGATTTTTCAATATTCCGATTCTTCAATTTCCCAAATTTTTACTTTTTCGATTATCTAATTTTTTAAACTTTTAATTTTTCAATTCGTCGATATTTTGATGTTTCGAGTTTCAGTTTTTGAATTTTTCCATGATCAAAATTTTTCGATTTCTCACTTTTTCAA